CTTCTCAAATTCAAAAATTCCACAGCTCGAATAAGATATATAGAAGTACTGTTGAGTGCTGCTTACTTCAATTACGATAGTATACAGCTTTAGATAGTGTTATATTTTTGCACTACTCAGAAAACGAAAGTGGGGATGCGCTTAAAAGCGGGGCTCTAAACAGAGTTTACTCGTTTTAACCTTCTACATTAGAATTAGCTCATCAAAAAGTCTGAGAACGTATAAACTACAACCTAGGTATCTCTCAGAACTTCGATTTGATCTTTTAACAAGAAAAATATAGTAACACCTGAGCTTGATTCATAAACCTTCCATATTTTGCAGATTTGCAAATTTAAATGCTCGATCGGCTTGCTACCATGTTTGGTTGCTATTTTTTCGAATTTATCTTATTTTTAGGCATGTCAGAGAAAGAGGAGCGGCCTTCGCTCCGACCAGTCGCATTTGCAGCAGTTGTCTTCTCGACTGTTGCGTTGACGAGCTGCCTTCTCACATTTCCGATGATTCTGCACTATGTGCAGACACTTGAATCTCAAGTTCAGCTTGACCTTGAATATTGTCAAGTAAGAGGGTAAAATTCCCACTTGATGTCAAATTGGGAAGAGCATGGGAATTTTAGGCTCGAGCTCGCGACATGTGGAAGGAAATGCTGAACATTGAGACTGGTGGAAGACGTGATGTCGCAAAGCTTGCTGATATAGTGATGAGTCATAGAAGACTGGAGAAAAGGTTGTTCTACCTATTTCTTTTAAGAGAAAGCTATTTAAGCATCTCCGCCACTTCAGAGACACTCTTGCCGACTTCTGGGCTCGTCGTCTGCATGATCAAGAGCTTCGCGACGAACCAGTTGGGTATGACACTCCATCTGCTGCCGTGGAGACTGCTGCTGCTGTTGGAGGAGGAGCACAAGGATGTAAGCTCTCAGTAAAGTTGAGTGCCATTTGAACTACCTATACAATACAGGCTGCACATGCAATCGCGGACCACCAGGCCCCCCAGGAGATCCAGGACGAGACGGTATCGACGGACTCGACGGCACTCCAGGTGACATCGGACCTCCTGGACCACCAGCTCCCCCTGGTCCCGACGCATCCACATTATTCCCACCGCAATGCCCTTGTGAGGCACCCCCCGGCGAACCAGGACCGAAAGGACAACAAGGCCCTGATGGCCCGCCGGGACCTCCCGGTGCACCTGGCGAAGACGGCAAACCCGG